ATGAATGCGATAAATGAATGCACGGAAGATATTTTACACACATGCATTTCTATTCTTAACAATAGCAAGATCGTGAGGAAATATGCTTGATCTTCTAGAGGAACTCCCAGTCTTTCCCACAACAAGATTTCCCTAATTCTTCCTTTATTTCCCAATTTTTAAGTTTTAAGATTAAGTTACACCAAATTTTTCACGTAAAATCCTTCCTCTTTCCCCTCTCATAAAAATACAGTGTAATATATTGCACACAAACTTCAAAATTCGAGAGCTATAATAAATATTCCCACTTGCATAAAAATATCTCACTATCTTTTTCCACCTTTCTTTACCCATAGTGACCTGTAAAATTTAAACTATTCGACAGATAGTGAAACAAATGACTGCTTACTATGTTAATAAATGTATCTGAACGTACGTAGTTAATTCATGAAATTCATGAAATTAACAAAGCAAAGTTGAAATATACACCGTTTGAAAGGTAAAATGCAAGTTGCACGTAAGTGTATGGCTGCCACTGTATGCAAGCAGGAGGATCATGCTAGGACAGGTAGTTGATCAGCGGCTTCGGTGCGGGACGGTATACCATGGCGGTCGTCGATCGAAAGTCGCGAATTTCCATCGTGGGGGGTGGTCTGGTGTGTGTTTCATCTTCTCCATAACAAATTCCTGCGAAAAAATCACTCTGGCAATTTTTTTGAAAATTTTTAAAGGAAGATCTTCGACGAAGATTGATACAGTGTGTCCTCGATCTTTCAGGTGGGATCTCTGGCAGGTTGCTTCTTCGCGAAGAGGGGCCATTCGGTGTCCATTTATGAATATCGTACAGGTGAACGTTTTAACAATTGATTTACATATTTTTTTGAATTATTAATAGATCTTCCTTATATTCTCCTTTCGTTCTAATGTCCGACAGTATTTTCCGAGTAGTTTTTCTTTACCTTTTCATTTGACGTCTAGTCACTTCTCTGAAGCATTAAAATCTCCCTTATTGATCCTATATATTCACTTTCACGAATAGGAGAATACACTGCGTCGAGTTTCACTTTTTTTTTTTTAATTTAAGAGAAACAGTAGCATAATTTAATATTTGTAAATGTAAAGATCGTGATTGTTTTAGACATCAGAGTGGAGGATTTTCGCGGTCAGAGCATCGACTTGGCTCTGTCGGTCAGAGGGCGGGAAGCTTTAAGGGCAATTGGCCTCGAGGAGGCTCTTATCGATCGTCATGGCATCGCTATGCGTGGCAGAATGATCCATAACAAGGATGGCACCCTTAAGGAGATACTTTACGACAGTGTGAAAGGAAACGTGAGTGATTTCACTGATACTTCGCGAAGCGAAACATTTTTCACTATTTCTATTCATTCGTAAAAAAAAAAGTACATAATTGTGACACTCTTTTTTTTAACATTTCCTGTTACAGTGCATTTATTCAGTCAGCAGACGATACTTAAACGTGGTTCTATTAAATGGTAAGTGAAACTTGAATAAGATCGAATAAAATACTGTTTCTTCTTTTTTCGGAGCTCTTTATCTCGTCGATCTATAGAAGGCAGCGAAGATTTACTAGTAGATTACACCGATACATTTGCATCTCGTTTTAGAAGAATACGAACGAACACGAGATGCTTCTGTGTTAAAAAAGGGGGAGAAAAAAAATGGCCACTGAATATCCGATGACGCGGTAGTGCGTGAAGCCACAAGAATTCGAGCGTGTCGTGTTTCTTGCTACCGCCGGCTTGTGCTTCTTACGATCTTCAGCGTGAAACGCGTACGCTCCACCGACATTTTAATCCGATATACATTTATTTACGCGTGAACCTTTCGATAAGAGAGGTGTGTAATCCTTACACACGCGCAGAAGCGTCTTTTAAGTATCTATAATGTTTCAGTATAGACGACGAAGTATTAAACGCGTTTCCTTCGAGATATCTTCGTTGTGGTTCCATTTTACGGAAAATTAAACGAGTGGAAGAACGTTTGCTTGCAGTCTTTAGAAATTCAATATTTTCTTTGAAATTTTGTGTGTACTAGCTGCTGAGAAGTATCCTAATGTCAGCCTCCATTTTAATAAGAAAGTGGTAGACGCGGATTTGGACATTGGGAAGATGAAGATACTGGAGTAAGAATTGCTACAGCAGAATTCAGAAGATGTTGTTACAGCACCTATAAAATTTATCGAAATTTGCAGCACGAAGACTCAAACGATCGAGGAGGCGGAAACTGACTTGATAATCGGCGCTGATGGTGCTTACTCGACTGTCAGAAGAATAATGGCGAAGAAACCGCTGTTTAATTGCAGTCAAACGTATATTGAACACGGCTACGTTGAATTATTTGTACCCATTGGAAAGAACAACGAGGTAAGTATAGTATTTTTGATGAAAATCGTTGATCAACTCAATCTTGACTAGTCGAAGGTGTTCTTTCATTGAAAATACGAAATTTGCAGATAAAACCGATTAATTAGTGACATTTGTCAATTAGAAAGAAAGGCGAACGAGTTAATTTTATATTTTTCCATATAAGCTCTGTTCACCTATCGACGGCACTAAAAATCTTGTTCGAATTTCAAGTACGCGATGAGTGGTGAGCATCTTCATATTTGGCCACGAGAGGAATTCATGATGATAGCTCTGCCAAACGACGATAACACTTTCACTGGCAACATATTCGCGCCATTTTCAATCCTCGACAAGCTCAAAACCCCGCAACAGCTTCTCAACTTCTACGCGAAACAGTTTCCAGATCTGCTTGAATTCATGGGCAGAGAGAAACTTGTTAACGACTATTTCGAGAGGGAACCAAAGACGTTGATTTCCATCAAGGCGAGTTTCAAAAATTTTAATCTCTTCGAAATGATTATTTGGAAAATATTTCATTGAAAAATTGAAGGAACGAGGGCAATTTAATTTTTAAAAATAACAAAAACTACTGTGCGACTTTTATTGCGACTTTATGAAGCGGCAATTGCAGGATCTAAGTTCTCTTTTAATGCATTCCAGTGCAAACCTTACCACTTTGGAAAAACCACCCTTATCGTCGGCGACGCTGCTCACGCCATGGTGCCTTTTTATGCTCAAGGAATGAACGCTGTAAGTTTCATTCCATCCATTGATTTACCAATAAATCTTTACTTTCTTTTTTATACCAGGGTTTCGAAGACATCTTACTCTTAGACGATTTGATGGAACGTTACAACTCAGACTTCAGCAAGGTCCTTCCGAAATTCACAGAACTACGATCTGACGATGCTCACGCTATCTGCGACCTTGCTATGTACAATTACATCGAGGTAATTTTCTTCCATTTAAAAAATATTCAATAATTAACGAGAAACTTTTGTAACAGGAAATTCTGCAATTCCAAAGCTCAGAAACTTCAACACAAAAAAAAAAAATGTTATCTATATGTTTAACTTATTAATTATTTCACCGTGAAAATTTTCAGATGAGAGATCTAGTGACAAGAAAATCATTCCTCCTTCGAAAACACCTCGACACATTCCTCCACAGACAAATTCCAAACACCTGGATACCATTATACAGCACGGTACACTTCTCGCGAATGAAGTTCCGCGACTGCATCGCGAACAGGGAGTGGCAAGACAAGGTAGACGAAGAAAAAAAGACACCGGTGTAAACATAACAATGGTAGGAATTATTGAAAATGTACCTGAACAAGGATTTTCTCTTTTTACAGATATTACGCAGGATCGCTTGGTGTACAGTGTTCTTGATAATCGCGTTGCTGATGGCTCCACTGCTCGAAGTGTACACAACGAAGGGTGTTTTGTATTAACTACAGATATGCATTATACACAACCATATATCGATATGCAAATATGAACGCATCGGTTATCACAATAAACCTAACTCTCGTCTAACTTCTTCGCTATTTTTTTCTATCAAAAAAATCCTAGAAATTCCTCATATCCTCTAACGCTTAAATTTCTACAAAAAGAAAGAAGAAAAATGTACAATTCATGCGATACATTCGCTACAATCGGTGAACAAAGAATTGTTCGTAACTTGAGCAAGTCTCGTTTAAGGCCTTCACCCTCTTCCCATTATTATCCCTTATCGTATAGACTACAAGCTAAAGAATGTCGATAAACTATAATTACATACGATACACCTCAACCCTATTGGTTCTTCTCCAATGGAAACTTCCTATGGTAATTGACAAAATTGACTAAAATAACGTATCGCTGAAAATGTGGCACGCTCATTTTTCACTCGACGGCTACTCACGTACTCCTTAAAAATCACACGGAACGTAATTCATTCTATTCTTATGTAACTTGTTTAGTCCTTGATTCACAGCTTTCAGAATCTACTAGGAGTATTAATTATTATCGCTCGGTGACGCATATCACATCAATTCGAGTTTCACCGAATCCGCGTTCTCGATGTACTTGTGCTTGTGCGCCTCGAAAACCTCTATCAATTTCTCGATGAACTCCTCGTGGTACTTTGTAATTTGCTCGGCTGTTGGCTCCTCTATCTTTGGTAACTCCATAGGGCTACCGACTGAAAAATAGATCACTGCGATGTAGCGGAGATTCGAAATTCTCTCTGAAATTTTTTCTGCGATGATTATGAACAATAACGAAATGATCGATAAATTTTTAATCCTTCCTGAAATTTTTTCTCTGATAAATATGAGTAATAAGGAGATGATCGATAAATTTTTAATCCTTCCTGAATTTTTTTCTGTGATAAATGTGAGTAATAAGGAGATGATCGATAAATTTTTAATCCTTCCTGAAATTTTTTCTCTGATAAATGTGAGTAATAAGGAGATGATCGATAAATTTTGAATCCTTCCTGAATTGTTTTCTGCGATCAATGTGAATATTAGGGAAATGGTCGATAAAGTTTGAATCCTCCTGAAATTTTTTCTCTGATAAATATGAGTAATAAGGAGATGATCGATAAATTTTGAATCCTTCCTGAATTGTTTTCTGCGATCAATGTGAATATTAGGGAAATGGTCGATAAAGTTTGAATCCTCCTGAAATTTTTTCTCTGATAAATATGAGTAATAAGGAGATGATCGATAAATTTTGAATCCTTCTTGAAATTTCTTCTGAAATTCTTCATAAAGCGTGACAAGTATGAATACCTCGAGAATTATCGCCAATGTAAATTTGTCAATCGATCAGAGTACTCACCAACGACATAGATAGGCCTCCTCTGAGGGATGATTCCAAACGAATACTGGAAGAATCCTCGCCCCTTCAGAATAATCGGTGCCAATCCAACTTTCTTACGAATAGTGTGCTGCACTCTTTTCAGGAGCGAGCCTTCTGGTGCGTACACTTGATCGTACACTTCGGTTTCTCCGAAGGAAAATACAGGTACCAAGGGTGTGCTAAAATCAGCGAGACAAAGAATTAACAATCTCTGTAATTATCGAAGAAAAACAGAAAAGAATAGAAAACTGCGTAGAATTACAATACAAAAATTAATTTCATTGCAACGATTCGTATTAAACTGATCTGAATAAAAAAATTCAACGTTAATCGTTCAAAGTAGACTGATCGTATTTAATTGAACGATAGTTTAGTAGGAAAGAAACATGATCATTCAGTTAACAGTCGAATTTAATTCATGATAATTCAGTTTTTAAAAGGGGATTGTTCCAAGATTCACACGGGACACGAGCTTTGTAATTCGAATCAACGTAAACATTGATAATTCTAACCCATGCTTCAGCGCGATCTTTATGAAGCCTTTTCTCCTTTTTACCAGGATACGATAAGTGCCCGGCTTACATTCCAATGATTCCGACGCTCCACCGATGATCAGAATCGTTGCTCTTCCTGTGTAAGGCGCGGGTGGCTTCGTTGATAAGAGATAGTGCAAACTCTCCGCGCTGCTGCTCACACAGCCTGCGTTTTAATTCGATCACGATTAAAACAATGACAGAAGAGTAACAATAAAATACGAAGGATCTAGTATGAATAATTTCTACACGTGGGATATTGCATTCTGTAAATTTAATTTAATTTTTAATGTAATTTTATATGTAATTTTTAATTAATCATTTTTAATTTTCAATTTTTGACGAAATTTCTTTTCAACACAAGAATACACACGTGATTAGCAATCCTTTTTCTTCGTGAATCATAATTACGCAATTTGTAGAATGCAACAAGTATAAATATCTCGTATGAATGAAAAAAGAGAATTTTCCAGGAATTGTCGCGATTAATTGCAGACTGAATAATTCCTTCCAGAATTTTCCAACGACTCGGTTTATGTCTGCTTCACGTTCAGTAAGAGTTTCGATACTTCCGAGTGTACACGTCGGTACATTTTTACGACAGAAAGAGTATCGGTGAAATCGTTAAAAACATTTTTACGATGGACACGTACCATTCGAGTAAGCGTATTCGCGGAAAAACGGGACCCTGAAATGTTGATCCAGTACCACAGGTCTCATGTCCATACCTGGGAACTTCTCTCTGCAGCCCAGGCATTCCGATCCGAAGGAACAGAAAACTCCTGTGGCCAGAATTCCGTGTGGAAAACTGCAGAACAGATATAGCCTATTTGGATCTAAGTCGGTCGTTTTCACTAGTTTCACTGGGAAATAGTTGCAGAAGTAACGTAACCACGCGGAACTCCTTAGCCATCTTGTACCGCGATCGCTGCAACAGGGAAATCGAATTTGTTCAATTAACACCTGTTCTCTTCGTTCTGAATTTCAGTCAATTTTTAGAATTAGCAGAAACGATAAATTAAAGTTTCATTTATAAAAATATTAAGTTTGCGGAGAACAAACTATCGCTTAAGAATCCTCCACTATACTTAACCGTTTGAGTAGCAGAGGTTTTCAAAATGAATTGTAATAAATATTAATTTTACTATCTATAAATTAAGCCCTCTATTTATATTCATATTATCAATAATTATATGAATTATATACCCATGATTTAACTTATATAACATAAATAACAAATAGAATAATTTTTTTAATTTTAATAATTGGATTAAACACTTACCCTATAGTACTAATTGGATGAATTTCAAAAAACAAATATGCACTTATTGGATCAGTTCGATCAATTGCCCAAATAATTTCACTTGAAATTAGACTATTTTTAATCATTTTTATTTTTATAATACTAACCGAAAGATTTTCATTAAAAGACCTTGAAAATTTCCAAGGAAATAACATCTCATTTTTTATTTTAACTTCCCCAATATATATTATCTTCTTTACTAGAATATTAATTGAACTAAATCGAACACCATTTGATTTAATTGAGAGACCTGAATGGGATGCGAAAAGATCAAAGCGGCGCGACAGCGCTCCTTTTATTCTGTGTCGGAAAATGCTAAGCAGCGAGACAGCGCTTCTTTTATAATAGGCAAAAAAAAAAAAGTAGCGAAGCGACATGCGTCTGAAATGTTGAGCGCGTCTCGTCAGATTGCGAGTGCGCCGTCAGTTGTCCGTATCGTTCAAATGCGCTGGGTTTTTCCGACATGAAATCTGAAGAGCGCGAAAGCGGCGCGTGGGACTCAAACGGTTAAAATACAGCTTCGTGAATTAATATCTATTCTCAATTTTCATAATTAATAGAATGATAAATCGAGAGGTCAATTTGGAGAATAAAAAATCGCTTAAGAATCCTCCACTATATTTAAGTAACCTAATTCATTTCTGTAATCTCGTATAGGATACAGCTGGATTCAGTATTTATTTATTCGCTGGTTACATTCAATAGAAACTTATAACTATTTTAAATTTCCTATTACAAAGGAAAGTGGTCGACCGCGAACAGGCCAATCTCAATTGCAAATACTTGCAAGCGAACAAGTAGAAACTCCTTGAAGAGAAAATACACTTGCTAACATATTCACTGTCCCCTGCATCATACACTATGCACACTCTTCCTTCCTGTCACGTTCGTGCATCACATTTGATGCACAAGTGCAGTGAAAAATAAAACGGAACAACCACAAAAATGTGTGGTTCGAGCAGAAAAATCTCCATTGTCATTCTAAAGCCTGCTATCTCATAATTGAAGAGAGCAGTCGCGACGAAGAAATTGAACTGAGCATTCTTTCACGTATTAGTAATTAACGAGACTGCGGATTTTTCTGCAAACTCATATCTTCGAGAATACATAAAAAAAAGTGAAACTTTGGTAGAAAATTATTTCGCCTGCGAGACACTATATTTTGTGCAATTGTGCACCTTTAAGTTTCCTACAAATGCAGAGAAATCCGCAATTTAGCGATTTTCACAGTGAACGTGTTAACACGGCAACAAAATCAGCTGTTGAAAATTTCGACGGTGAACGTGTCAACACGACAGCAATACGTAATTAAAAATTCCTTTCATATAAGTGTCAACAATTTTGTCGAAGCACCCTGTGTAATAAAAGTAGCTTGATAATTCACCTTCTGCCGCCTCGATTGCACGTGTCCCAGTCATAATACATCCAGAGGAAGTAGAGCGGCATGAGATAGCGTAAGTATTCCGTATAGAAGAGTATGTACGCGGCAATCCCGTATCCGATCAAATCTCCAAAGCCCAATATAACGATCCATATCGAAGCAGAGAGAGTTTCCAGCCGTCTTTTCAACGGGACGTTCAACGGTGCAAAGCTCAGCCCCAGAATCTTCATATTTCTTCTTTCTTTCAAACTTCTCTGCACGGTTTATCGTCACATCAAAGCAGCTCCCTCGTACCTGATAAACAGAATCGTTCGATGGTACTTCGACGATCACAAGTGTGTCTTACCGTGGATTATGTAAGGTCAATGAACGTTAATACGGTGATAATGAGGTATCTTATCGGTGAGAATAAATTATCAAATTCGACACGTGTTATCGGTGAAACTTCCGATCGTTCGCTGCACTTTTGTACTTTCTACGAGTTGTGCAAGATTTGTAACAACTTTTCTGATTACAATCTTTCAAGCTTTTTTAGCGGAAATTTTTACATTGTTAAGGAGATTGTATTTGGATTTTCAGCAAGTGCGCGGTAACGTCGAAAGGATGAAACGATAGGAATACAAGGGGGAAAGTACAGTTTGATTGACTCGAGTGCTCGATAAGCCAAGGTTAATGTTCTTTAACAGGGTGAGAAAAACTTTCCTGAGATGATAATATGCACATCACGTTTTAGATACGACTCCTATATCTTATGTTTGAAATGATGTTACAGAGGCACGAGGCGCGGTTCAAAGTGTGTCAAGTAGTTCGTGAAGCGAAGCCTTTTTTAAATAACACTTCCTTTGTGGATACAGTCATTGTACCTACTTTTCCGACTTCTGCAAACCCGAGTACTGCGACTTTCATAAATACCTGCCATTGTTCCACTGTGGTGTCTTAGAAACTGCTCTCTAAAAGTGTTTCAAGAGACTAATTACAATTCCTCGTTAAACAGATGGAAATATTGAAAAGAAAAGATTCAAGTAATTAAAGTACGCAAGTTTATCGCGTTCCAAATTGAATCTCAGATAACAGACGATAATAGGATACACTTGCGGTATTAGCAAAGAATAAAAAGTTTAAACTATTGATAAAAGTTCGTTGCTATCTCAATTGACGACATAAAGAATATTTTTATTAATTGACATATCAACAAGTACTCAAGAGTCTACAAAAATGTTATCTCAGTTATGTGCTACATAAATACTGCCACCAAATTACAGTAAATCGAAAGAAATTTAATCATCACTGCTCCACAGCTCATTATCATAATTCTCAAGTGACATCACAAGTATGACAACAAGAATCAAATCAAAAATCAAATTAACCTTTGAAAAGGAATTTTTATTTACTCGAAAAAACCTTCAAAAATTTACCACTTCGAATTTCATTTCCACAAATTTCCCAAATAACGCACAAATCGTTCCCCTTGACCTTTGAAAAGGAATTCTTATTTTCTCGAATAGACTTTCAAAAACTTACCACTTCAAATTTCCCAAGTAACACACAAATCTCTCTCAACCTCTCCAAACAAATTTTTATTTTCTCGAAAGAATTTTCAAAAATTTACCACTTCAAATTTCATATCCACAAATTTCCCAAATAACGCACAAATCGTTCCCCTTGACCTTTGAAGAGGAATTCTTATTTTCTCGAAAAGACTTTCAAAAACTTACCACTTCAAATTTCCCAAGTAACACACAAATCTCTCTCAACCTTTCCAAACAAATTTTTATTTTCTCGAAAGAATTTTCAAAAATTTACCACTTCAAATTTCCCAAGTAACACACAAATCCCTCTCAACCTTTCCAAACAAATTTTTATTTTCTCGAAAGAATTTTCAAAAATTTACCACTTCAAATTTCATTTCCACAAATTTCCCAAATCATTTCTCTCAACCTTTGAAAAGGAACGTTTATTTGTTATCTTTCAAAATTTCACTCAAAGAACAATTGCAGACACCGAACAATATTTCCTAATTTCGTGAAAACCAAGAATAGTAAGAAAACAGATCGTTCTCACTATCCTAATCCCTCCAAACACCGTAACACTCCAGCGCCAAATCTGTGATCCACGTGTCGTCCGGTCTGCACCGCGACGCTCCAAGAATAGAGAATGTTTTCGAATCGATGGACATAACCATGTGTGTGTCGCGCGATTCCCCGTTTTAGGATCGCGTTTAGAGAGCCATTGACCCCATACAAATTTCATTACCCTCCACCCGAAACTAGCCGGCCTACATAACTGCCAAGGTGTAGGATACGCTCTAACCGACGACAGACGGCGCAAGGTCGTGGTAAAACGTGAAGAAAACGCTTCGTGTCCTCGTGAGGACGGCTAACACGTTGTCCACGTGCCCTTCGAACAATGCAAACGCCTTATTTATAGCATGCACGCGTGACAAAAGGAATAGATTGTCAACGTTCGAGTGTCGCCTCTCTTCTTCTTCCGCCGCGTCGCTTCGGACACGTTGATCGATTTATCGAAATCACTCTTTTCGTTTCACCTATTTCACGTCGTTCCGCTACCGTTCGCGGCATACAAACTGGTTTAGACTTTCGATCGTCGAGAGAATCGAGCGCACGGTCGTCTGGATTCTGGAGGAAACGTTGTCACCGTCGAATTGCCTCTTTTCTTCTGTTTTTACTCGGTGACATAGTAGGTGTGAAATCGTTGGAACGTAGACAGGAAATGAGGAAATGTGCCTCGATGTGTGTGTATATTTGATCGAGTGGAAAGTGGAAGTTTCCGAACAATGCTGGGAATGTTTTTGTGATAATGAACTGTGGGATGTGTGAAGATGCAACGTTGCAAGTGCAATATCAATCACTTTGTTTTCGTTCTGCGAGTGATTTGTCAAGTTTTAGAAGGAATTTTTAATAGAGATTTTAGAAGTGAACGAATTCTTCAAGATGGAGAATGTATTGGTTACATTTTTTTTTTTTTTTTGGAAAAATGTTTGTGTCCGTTGTGACGTTTAATTATTGGAACGTTTCGGTGAACGGTGTGGATGTTCCTAACGAGTGCTGCTCTTTTCCCTCGGCTTCTAATCGTCACGCTTACCGTTCGTCCGGAATAATCTTTATTATTGACAGTCTATTTACTGTGAAACGATCCTACGATATCACGGTACATTAATCTTACATCCCCACTGTTGATAGAATGTAATTAATAACAACTGTACGGTCTAATTGCAATTAAATTAATCACTAATTAAAGATTCTTATTAACGTCTGTTTGTTTGCAAATATCCTTCAAATCTTATTGCTGTTACTATCGTTAGTACTAAAAGAGAATTTCCAACACACTTTCATTCATGATTTTCAATAACTGTAGGAAGATATCTCTCAATTTTCTTGCACGACTGTGTTATTAATTGAAAATATTGAAAATCGTATCGAAGACGATAATATTTTTGTTTACTTGTTCGAAAGTAGCACGGTGAGAGACAAGCACAACAGGAATTCCCCTAATTATTTTTACCGGTGTATCGTTAATTTATTCGACCGGATAGCCTTACAATTCCTGTGTAAGGCCGTGCCCCGTTTGCACTTAAAATTCAGCCTGATCTTCTTTTATTTTCGATGTACGAGTGTTACCAATTTAGTCCAACGATATTTTGCAAAAAATTACCATTTTCCTTACTTTCCAGTTTGAGAAACGCGATGAACACTCGTCGATTGCAAGAAATCTTATAGCGTGAAATCGTGCGATTATTATGCAACAGCTGAATTAATAGAGAAAAAATAGTATTTCTTAAATGTTCCAAGTATCTACTGTGCAAATCACCTGCTGATTTAAATTTCTGAGTCAGAGTACTGGTTTGAAAAACCAAGGGTTAACGGTGCAAATCGAACACGAATAAATTAATAAGTTCAAAGCTTTTTAGATCGCGTAAGAAATGAATTTCGTCAATTACTCTGCTTCGAACAGAGAACGTTTCAATTAACATTTCCAACTCGGAGAAGTGTTTCAAAAATTCTGTCCATCATTCACCCGCTTGTCACCGTAAATTCCACAATTCGAGTGCTTCGTCACGTCCATTCACACATTTACGAGTAAACTACAGTGGAATGGTTAATCTCGGTCGAAGTGCTACTGGTGTTTACTTCATTGGAATATCACAAAGCGCATTACTATTTTCCAGAAGTCGCGCAGGAGTAACTGAACGCGGCGAAGAAGAAAGCAACGGGTAGAGTAACGACTAGAAAAAGAAGTGACACGATTAAACGACGAACTTCAGCCAAGGCACGATCATCTAACTCGAACAAACTACCACAAACACCGTTAAATTCTACGAAACTCGTAATTCACGTCTCCGATTGTGCCTGAAACTGCGTTTTATCGCGTGCGCTATAACGAGGAAGTAATCAGGATCATTAACGAAATGGCCACGCAAATATTGAACGACGTGACCCACTCTCGGTCGTCTCTCGTTTAAATTCAATTAGCGAGGATTTGAAAGATCCCATTCACGTCACAACACTGACGATGCATCGACGAAAATCGATCAAACAGATAGATACACACACTGTGAAAATTCTCCTAACAGCATCATTCGAACTTCTATTCACGATTATTTATCAAAAAGTTGAACGCAACGTGCAATTCGAATTCAGACTGCAAAAACCCCTACCAAAGCGCACCTTTTCCATTCATCGTTCACTCTGGCCACTTAGGAAAAGCAGTGGAAGCAGACGAATTGCGAGTAGGAACGCGCGTGTCGACACTCACAATCGACTCGCGTTCACCAAAATAGACAATCAGGTGACATCCGCGAGCGTTGTTTCCTAGCACGCCTTACCTGTGCCTACGATCAGGCTTCTTGCCATTTGCAGACACTTCTTCGCGGCTTTCTTCACTCTATACGATACGTTTCTTTCAATTTCACGTCTCGGTGGATTTTGATTCGTTCCGCAAGCGAATCTTCAGTCAGGATAAAGAGAGAGAGAGAAGAGAATCACGGAAGAAGATTTGAACGCGACGAGATGCTCGGTTCGGCGTCACGTTGCTCACTGGCTCGGCGCCGCGCCGCGCGGAACAAACAGGAAAGACTGCGTGAGCGAACGTACACGCTGCTTCAGACACTCACGCACGCTACTTATGCACGCGGCGAAATCAACGACGAAGAGCCGACCACTCTCTCTCTACGACTCTCCGGCCGGATGAACAATGAAAAATTGATGCTGCACCGCGAGGCCTCTTCTACCTCTTGTGAATCGATAATCCGTGGATCTAGCTCGTGGGACGGCTGCACGGAGCTTCAAGAGCTTGCAGAGGGGTTTTTAATGTCTTTTTTGGAACGAGGTTCTGTGGGAAAAGCGAGGGAGAGACTTGTTTTGGAGCGTGGACATTTTGGGGGTCAAGTGACACTTTTGGAAGACGGAGGAGGAAATTTTGAAGAGTTGTAGAAAAATTTGAGGGGTTTAAGGAAGCTTTTGAAGAAGGAATTTTAGAAGAATTTTTGATAGATGAGAAATTTGAATTTATGGGGAAGATCAAGTTAGAATTTTTCATTTAACACACGTTGGAGAGCTTTGAGAGCAGAAACAGTAGAAAAATTTCAGGGGGTTAAGAAACTTTTGAAGAAGGAATTTCAGGGAAGCAATAGAGAAGAATCTTTGATAGATAAGGAACTTGAATTCATGGTAAAAATGAAGTTACAGTTTTTAATTTGACACGTTGAAGAGCTTCCAGAAGAACAGATTTTTTTTTTAAAGAGGAAATTTCAGTTCAAGATATTTTGGGAAAAGGGTTGGAGGAATTTGGAGTTACAGAAAAATTTGAGGGGTTCAAGGAAGCTGTTGAAGGAGGAATTTCAGAAACTAATTTTAGCCAAATATTTTTCAACAGAGGAGCAGAAATGTAAAAGAACTTTTCTAAAATTACTATAGCGGAAGATTATAACTTGAAACTGCTGAGAAGGAAGAAAGAACCACTCAGGTTCCACAGTGCATATTTTTCTTAAGAGTGTTAAAACATGACGAACTGTCTTTATTTTATCTGAAGTAGCACACGAAACCTCCAGCTATCTTATCGACGATATTACACAATTTCTATCAAACGAAAATTTTTAGTTCCGTCAATACATCAAATTGCTCAATCTTATCAAATAACTGTTGCTTATTCGCTAAACTCGTAAAATCGTTCAACTGAAACATAGTCAACAACTTTCAAATAACAAAGTCTCTGTATTCTAACATTACTCATAGTATTCTGAGTAATTTCTAAAAAAATCTCACTTCGATACTCCAGCGGAGTGTAAATATATCTTCGACGATAAGATAACGATAACAGCCAAAAGGCGTATCTTTCCTACCAAAAAAGAAAAAGACAGACTTCTTCCGCCACGTGGGACATAAATGAATTCCAGACAAGCTTATTTTCTTCTTTTTTTTTTTTTTTTGTTGAAACAATACGTTTATTGCTCGATCTATAAAAAAACAGACGAAAGGGCAAGGTGTGCACTTGTTAGAGGCCGTGCATCCGCACCGTGAGAAAAATATACCTCGATTAATTAGAATCTATTTACCATCGCGACAACAATTACAATTAATTTAACCGGTATACCGTAATGCGTACGACGTATACATACAATTTAATGCACGTGTAGTTTCCGAAACTCTCCGAAACACTCGTCTTCATATCGTCGGGTCGATTCTTATTCCATAGAAAAGAAAAAAAAAAGGAACAAGTTTCTCTGTTAGAAATGAAAACGAATTCTTCGTCGTCGTCTCGTTTCCTTCGTCGATGTGACTAATTAATTTTCACTCATAGAGACGAAACGAATAAAAGGGACGAGGTTACAAATTCACGTGACATCGCGTACAAATCGGATTCGAAACTATCATAACTCGTATTTCTTTTTTCACACTTTTCTCGTTTTCTCTCTCAAAGGAATAACATATTGGCTTTAAACGGTTTAACATTTTTTTTTCTCTTGGTTAGATACATATGTATGTATGTATATATATGTATGTATATATATATATATATATTTCTTCTTCATATAAAATTCACCTTCAATAACGCTGATTGCGTTCAACGATTAACTCCTATAGTTATGGTTTAATTAGCAAAAAATTTGCGATTAGTTGGAACGCGTTAACAATTTCAATTTTCTTCAGCACGATTAGCAGAGTAATTTCGCTTTCTGTGTTTCTTATCTCACCGGCTGATCCACGCGATCTTCTCTCAGAAGTAATTTCGCTCGACTTCGCTTCGCGTGTCGCATGATCGCGCTAATAAAATTAATCGAAACACGTGAAAACACTTGTTCTTCCTCGAGAAAATAATATTCCATATATACTTCTCGCTCTAACTTCTTCTTTTTCTTTTAACAATAAATTCATTTAGTTACAAGGAGATCCTTTTCTTCTTTTAAGTAGATTCTCAACGAAGCAACAACTCGTGTACGGTTCGAACACAATTTTCTCTCCTGCACGAAGGTTCCCGTGGAAAAAAAAAAAAGAAACATATTCTCCTTTATTAGCACCAGAGAAGCTGAATACTGACCCCTTCAAGTTCACGTTCTATATATCGCGTTCTACTATCGCAGGAAACGCGACAAATAAGGATAAAGTGTTTCACACATGTGTATAAATATGACGACGAGCGGCCTCGAGGGGGCCATTTGCAGCCATAACTTAGACTTCGCCGCTGCTACGCGGTATCAACCCCCTAATTAAAGAGAGAGTTGCTACATTGTACCTTTAGGCATGCACGTGCGCAATCACTGTACACACCTTGACACGTGTAACAGACCGAGGGGCGATGCAATCAAGGTTAATTCAGCAAATGCAATTCTACGATGACACACACACACACACACTCGTTACGAATTAACACTAGAACTACCAAGGCAAAAGAAAAAGGAGAAATTACTTAAATTTACAATATAGAACGTACAGTCTAAAATTTTTCCCTAAAATTTTCCCTAAGAAGAATT